ATTTCTTCATATGGATGAGTGAGCACCTCTAGTGCTGTATTAGTTTGTTGAATGATTTCAGTCTGTATTGTATTCCTGGAGCCTTGTTTTTCTCTAAGGCCTTCGCTGCAACTTGAAATTCTTCCTATAGTACTATGGTTCTTTTATCATGTTATCTCTTGAAATGGTTGAACATCATTTCTTTTTGGTACAATGGTTGTTGTTGTTATTGTTAGGTACTGTCAAGTTGGTATTGACTCACAGTGAGCCTGTGTATCTGTTTCTCCTTATTTTGAGTTGTGCCCCATCAGCAAATGAAGGTCCTAAAAGCTCTACTCCATTTCCATCTTCATGGTCAACTCTGTGTTAATCTCTTCCTCAGTACTTTTTGAAGTGCCTTCCAATGTGAGGGAGGGGCTCCTCTTCTGGCACTGGAGCTGACAGTGTTCTGCTGCTGTTCATAAGGTGTTCAGTGGCTAAACACCCATCAGCAGTCTGTCATGACTTCTTCCTAGTGTGTCTTAGTTTGGAAGCTCAGCTGAAACCTGTCCACATTAGGTGGCTTTGCTGGCATGTAAAATAACAGTGGCATAGCTTCCATCATCACAGCAACATGCCAGCCCCTACAGTACCACAAGCTGACAGACAAGTGGTGGCTATACCCACATAATATATCCCCCCAAAAACCTTAAGGTTACCCCAGCATTATAAGTGTTCTGGTGTGGTGTTGTAGGCTAATGCGTCAGACTGCAGAGTCATTTGAACTGCACGGTTGGTGGTGTAAGCTCCCCAGCTGCTCCTTGGAAACCCTATACAGGGTCTCTATGGGTCAGAATCGACTCGACAGCACTCAACAACAACAATCTTTAGACAGCAGATATCATCTCAATTAGAGTCTCTTTTAATTTACTAAATGAGAAATGTTAAGCCAGTTGTTAGTCTTTGTAATAATTATTGATCGTTAAACCTTAAGAAATTGCCAATTATTAATAATGCTATTGTTAAGTACTGTTGAGTCTGTTCTGACTTATAGTGACCCTGTATAGGGTTTCTGAGGAGCAGCTTGTGGGTTTGAACTGCTGGCCTTATAGTTTCCAGTGCAGTGCTTATCCTACAATGTCATACCAGGAGTCCATTATTAAGAACACTAATTATTAAAGCAATACAAGTAGTCATTAATTAAAAAGCTACGTGAAACGTTAAAAATATTTTTAACCTCATGATTGTGTATATTTTATTTTCTTTGCCATCATTTTTGGTTTCCTTTAGAAAACATCTCAAATGCTCTCATTGTTAAACAGTAATTTTTATTTAATAGTGAATATTGTTAAGTGCTGTCAAGTGGGTTCATAATGAGTTTTAAATCTTTGAAGGGTCTGTGTTCATTCCCTTTGTGTCAGTGTCAGGGTGAATATACTTGTGTATCTCCTCCTCCTGCTCTGTGTGAACTGAGTTTGAGATGAGCAGTTTAGTTTCTGTGCTTAAATTTACATTCAAGTGTATTCAGTTTTCTGATAATGAAACCTACACTTTTTTCTGTGTAGGGTTTTCATTGTTTGGGATATTAAACTTTTCAGACTAAATGTGAATGTTATATGCTTGAACATGTAAAAAACACCTGATCAGTGCTCTCTGTTGCCATGTGTCTTTAGGTAACTGCACCTGCGTGGTTTGGCAGCCATGGAGTCCATGCTTAATAAGTTGAAGAACACTGTTACAAAAGTAACAGCTGACGTCACCAGTGCTGTAATGGGAAATCCTGTCACCAGAGAATTCGACGTTGGGCGACACATTGCCAGTGGTGGCAGTGGCCTAGCTTGGAAGATTTTTAATGGCACAAAAAAGTCAACAAAACAGGTCAGCTTTAATCCCATGTTAGTTAGGAAAAGCACTTTGTAAGTACCACAAAGTGCATGTGTACATTGTTATGTTAGAAATGACCTAAAGTTTTTTATTCCTCTTGTTTCATCTCCTAAAGTCATAAAGTCAAGGGCTTTCCAGTGTGCCCTGAGTCACCTAGTTACAATGGACATACTGGCTCATCTTGTAGTAAAGTTTTATGCAATAAACTGATGTGTCACTTGAGCAAGTGAATATGTTGTTATTGTTGTTAAGTGCTGTCAAGTAGATTCCAACTCACAGCAACTCTATACAGGGTTTCTGAGGCTCATCTGGTGAGTTTAAACCATTGACTTTGTGATTTACAGTCCAGTATTTATCCTACAATGCTACATTTTAAGATATAATTGATAAAATTGATCATTAAATATTCTTTTCGTATCTGTCAATAAGTTATAGACCAGTTAAATTTATACCCAGTTAAAATTTGCCAATGTTTTGTCTTTTATTTAGTACATTCCTATTCACTTTTTCATTGTATAGCTCTGTAGGTAATAGGTATCTATGATATTCTTTAGTGTTTAACCTGATGGGTTTTACTGTCAGGAGAAGTTAAGTTTGTGTCATATAATAGTGGGTTTGCAATACGATTATGTCCAAGTATTTTAAAGCTAACTTCTTTTGAATAAGAGTAGATTGACTGACTTGCACAAATTTTTTTCATATTGATCCTTGACCAAGAGATTCTTAGAAATTTGTGATTGTTAATTTTACTTAATAGCTCAATGTTGGAATTGTTAAATAAGAAAAAAATCTCTAGGTTTAAAACCTCTGTAGAAATGCAGTTCTTAAAAAAAAAACAAACCATCTTGTCCAAAGTGCCTTTACTTTCCTGCATGTGAACCTTGGGAATTGTAAGAAGTGTGAGATTTATTACACACATGGGGCTTTAAAAGATGCATAGAAATATGGGATGAAAAGTTTATGGACTTTTCCTACAAACTTTTGAAGTCCCCTTATACTTCCCAGTGACTACTGTAATGAGTTGTAGGTATTTGTTATTTGCTGCTTTTCCAAAGTTATCTTATTTTCTAAACAAACACTGAAGGCCATATTGGTTTTGGATTTCCTTTTATGAAGTAGGAATCTTGGTTCTTTGGTGTTGTTGTTAGGTGCTGTCCCATCGGTTCTGACTCATAGCGACCATATGCACAACAGAATGAAACGCTGTCCGGCCTACGCCATCCTTCCAGTTGTTGTACTTGAGCCCATTGCTGCTGCGTCTCTGTCAGGCCATTTTGTTAGAGCTCTTCCTCTTTTTCGCTGACCCGTCACTTTACTAAGCATGATGTCCTTCTCCAGGGGCTGTTACATGTCCAGAATTTGAAAGACAAAGTCTCATCATCCTGGCTTCTAAGTAGCATTCTGACTGTACTTATTCCAGCACAGATTTGTTCTTCTATGATACTTTCAGTACTCTTCTTTAACACTATGGTTCAGATGTGTCAATTCTTCTACAGTCCGTCTTATTGTTTCACATGCACATGAGGTTATTGAAAATACCATGGCGCACTTTAGTCTTCAAACTGACATCTTTGCTCTTGTTCTTGTGCAGCAGAGTTGCCTAATGCAATACATCATTTGATTTCTTTACTGCTGCTTAAATGAGTGTTGATAGTGGATTCAAGCAAAATGAAGTCTTAGACAATTTCAGTCTTTCTTCCGTTTGTATGGATATTGTTTACTGGTCCAGTTGTGAGGATTTTTGTTTTCTTCACATTGAGGTGCAACCCATACTGAAGGCTATGGTCTTTGATCTTTATCAGTAAGTATTTTAACCTCTCTTTGTTTCCAGCCAGCAAGGTTGTAGCATCTGCTAATTCTGATGCCATGTTTTTTTTTTTTTCTCATTTATTCAGTTTCTCTGATTATTTGCTCAGCATACAGATTGAGTAAGTATGGTGAAAGGATACAACCCTGGCACACACCATTCCTGATTTTAAACTATTCAGTGTTCTAACGACTGCACAGATTCCTTATGAGGACAGTGGAAGTGTCTTGGAACACCTGATCTTTGCAGTGTTATCCATAGTTTGTCATAAGCCATACAGTCAAAAGCCTTTACATAGTGAGTAAAGCACAAATCTTGTGATAGGTTGTTGTCATTTGGTTTGTACCTGACTTGGAAATCTTGTTTTTAATGCCATTTGGTTATAAGTATTTAATGAAGTCCAAGACTTGTACTTTAAATGGATATTTTATGTTCTGCATCTTAAATCCTGATTGAAGCTATCTGTTTTGAATATTGTTTTCTTTCTTTTCATAAGAACTAATCCAAAACTGAACATGGTTATTTGGGTATTGTTATTGTTGCTGTTGGGTGTTGTAGAGTTAGTTCTGAGGAGTGGCTGGTGAGCTTGAGCTGCCGACCTTGCAGTTCAAAGCATCTTTGCAGTCCAGTGCATTAACGCACAGCTCCATATTAGGCATTTTAACAAAAACCATCAGACCTTGGCTACCCAAAATGAGGAGGCCTACAAAGGCAAGAAGTGACTGGCTTACAAGATTTCAAGAGGGAGCCTAGATCCAGAGGGCGTGGAGGAAGGTAGAATCTCCACTGAATAGTATTCAATCTGTCTGGGCAGGGCTGATGAATGGAGATGGGGATGGCACTCATGTGGTACAATAGTGAATAATTGTTATTAGGACTGACTGTGAGGGTTGGAAATGTAAAGGTAGACATTTTGTAACAAAAAGAGGGGAGCGGTTGACTTTGCAGTCCAGGAGTGAAGGGTCCTGAGACCATCAGGGGAGAAGAGTGGAGTGTGAGACCCTATCCAGAGAAGCAGTGATGCCAGAGATGTAAGCAGAGACGATGACGTTGAGAGACGGAGCGACTGGGAACTCTAAACCCAGAGAGGGAGAGGGTTTGTGTGCTGAGGACCAGGGGGCAGGCTTGTGGGGTATACATTTGGTTGGTTGATGATGCATGGAGGGAATTGTAACCATGGCAGTGTAACAATATACAATAGGATGAATGTAAAGCTAATGTTCTCCCTTGTAAACTATCACAGAATTCACAATAAAACATTTAAAAAAAAAGTCACCAGTGAGATCATAAAATTATGTAAAACATTAAATGACCAACCTCCAGTACTAGCTCAGTTGGCTTTTATAATCATAACAGGAAAACAAAAGAATGCTAAATTTACTAAGTTCTGCGTTTTAAAAATTAATGACGTGGTAGTTTAATAGTGTTTTCTTGCTTTAACTGACTAGATTCTTAGGTGTGTATGTTGATGTCAGTAGTTTACAGAGTGAGAATGATATTAAATACTCTTAGAGTGTCGGACTTCTGTTGTTCTTCATAGACCATGAGAGCCCAAGCCCCAGTGATGGAGCCCCGTTCTCAACTGCTGACTGCTAGAGCAGTTTTCTTTAGATATGGTTTTGAATTTTCTCTCTTTACCTCCTTTGAACTTCAGATTTTAGTTTTGACTGCTAACTGATTCCTTAAGAAATTGGTTAAGTCTTACTACCTTGGCACTGAAACATCATTTTACTTTTCCCTGAATTGAAGTTTTCATTCTTTTTCAATTGTCTTATTTTTATTAAAAGAGAGTCAGATTATGGATAGCCTAGAACTATGCTATCCAACATGATAGTCACTAGCCACACAGGATTATTCAGATCTCAGTGAATTTAAGTTCAGTTCCTTAGTTGTACTGGTCACATTTTAGGTGATTAATAGCATTTAACCATAGCATGGCTATTACTGTGCACATACAGAAACATCGTCAGAGAAAGTGTTATTGACTAAAGAGAACTAGAAGAAAAATAATGGGAAAGGTTACTGTTCTTAGTGTCTCATCCACCAACCCCCCCTTCCCACCAATAAGGAGACAATGAAGGGCATCTTTCTTTCTTTCTTGCCTCTCAGCCGTCTTTGACCTAGCATACTGTGTACTTGGTCGGCCTACTTGTTTGTTAGCAGCATATGTATCTTGAATTTGATATTGACTTAGAGATAAACAGAAAGTTAGGTATTCTAAGCTGGGGAATTCTTACACATTGTTTAAAAAGTAAAGACATGGAAGTATATTCTATTGTTTTTTAGTGAAATAAATACCATGACATAAAGTTTATTTCTGGTTTTTCCTTATCTCAAATAAACTTCATTTTTTACATATGATTTTCAAGAAAAGTACAGTCTCCAAGTTATAAGCTGTATGAATTCCTTACTATATCTTTTAGGACTTTGCAGGTAAGTCGGAACAGGTGCATACAGCTCTTAGTCTTTATTTTAGTGAAAGAAAGGCTCTAAGCCTTTACAAAGATTCAAAAGCTGCATATATAGCGAGTTAGAGTGACTGTGATGAAGAATTGTTGCAAGTAGGGGTTGGTTCAGTTGTTTCAAAGTGAGGAGTTGTTCATAAGCCAAATTTTGTAACAAGAATACTTGCCTCTATCATAATACAATATTATCAAGAAGAAACAAAAATCCAAAATAAAGAATTCCTTATGTAAATAGTATTTTCAAGGTTTGCATACCCTATTAGAGGTTATCAGTGTGCTTTTTTTCCATAGAAACGTTTCAAGCTTACAGTAGTGCCTTGGATTGTAATGATAATTCTCAGATCAGGTATGACTTTGACAATGTAAATCTCAGTATGTGAAGGCCCTAGAGAAGAGTAGCAGTAACAGCGCCTACAGAACAGGTAGACTCAGCACTGCACTGAGGACCATAAGGTCGCCTGTTCAAATCCACCAGCTGATCCTCAGAACTCCTATGTACAGGGTCACTGTGAGTCAGAACCAATTCGGTGGCCCTTAAAAACAATAACAAACATAGAACAAGTGAAAATAACATTTAGGAAACCTGTAGTGTATCATTTAAAAAGAATCGGTAAAGTTTATTTACTGGTATGTCTATTAACTTCATTATACTGGTTTGCTTTTATGCTTCCAAAAACCATTTTCTGTTGATTTTTATTGTTTTTGAAGGATGTTCATTAAAG